AGAAAAAGTCAGAATTCCAGTTAGGCAGGAAACCTATTGCAAACATGCAATGATACAGAGGATATATAGTATCTATGCATCCCATTCAATGACCAACATAGTACCTGTGAATGTCCAGCACTTCATTCCAAGTTCTCTGAGTATTTTCCATACTGCTTTCATCTTGGAAATGAATGCCCATTGTTTCAAGTTTGCCCATGATGGATTTTTCTCTATCATCATCCTGATCATATGAAAATGTGCATCCATGACATGGACCACTGTGGACTTCCATACATCAGGGAAATTCCCTTAAGTCCAGGTTGCCCAGAGATACCCCCCAAATCCTGAATAGCCTCAGGATCCCTCAGAATCCCTGGGGTGCCTGAGAACCCTGAGGGTGCCCTGGGGAAGATTTCAAGTGACCTCAGGGCTCTCAGGGAGCCCAGGGACTCTGAGACTGTCCAGGATTTGGGGGGTATCTCTGGGCAACCTGGACTTAGGGGATTTTTTTCCTGATGTATTCTGGATGTGCACTCTTGCTGATGCAAGTTAAAGAATGTACACCTAAAAACCACAACCACTTCACAGTACAAGGAAAAAATTTCTTGAGCTCTAAGGCTTGAGCTCAAACAAGCCTTCAACTGCAAGATAATATCATTGGTGTTCCCCCTGACAATGGTTGAAGACAATGAATGAGGATATTGAATATGTATACTGTACTCCCTGCATTCTTCCAAAGATGGACCGGTTACCACTGCTATAGTAAAGCCCACTGTGGATATAGTTCAAATGTGGTGCAAACATCGATTTCCACATTTGTCCTTAGATAATAGCAACAGTATAAGCATTTTGAATAAATGCAACCAAGAAAACTCTCAATTACTTACCTGAAATTTATCCCATATTTCGAAAATTAAAAGCAGGACTTGTGGGAATTTAGAAAGAAAGATGTCCACATAGGGGGATGTTGAGCGCAGGATTATAGTGGGACTTAGAGAGCACGGTGGGCGAGCTAGAGTAACACAAATGAATGTATAAGCGAAGGTATGTGGCGATAATGAATGTATGTACATAGAGTAACACAAATGAATGTATACTAGGTAAGTTAGTAATATGCCCGGTATATGCTATGTATGAATATTAACTTACAGCGAAGGTGGTAGCCTCGTACGGGTAATGTAGAACGTAGGGGTAGAAGGTGAAGAGGAAGAGAAAAGGAGTGTGAAGTACGAGCCGGTAACTAGTGATCGGAAACGTATGACATAAGAAGAAAAGCGAGTACTAAATATAGTAATAATGGAGAAGAGTCCGTTTAGAGTATTGTATAGCGTTTACCTTGACAGGGGAAGCCGAAGAAAGCTTGGCCTGAACTGCTTGAGTGATACCAGGATATACTGGAGATGAACCAAGCTTGGATATCAGGGCATCATTCCCATTCGCATGAGCGCAATGAAATATCTAATTCCAAATTCCGACAAGCATAGTCATCATCAGATGATAAATCATTGTATCGCTCCAAGCAACCTTGAGCAAGGAGGTTGTGTGACCTGCTGATTTATGAATCTGATCTATGTGAAAATGCAATGAGCAATTGCAATCAAGGAGAAACTCAGGGAATGATGCATGGGAAAACTGAAATCCTGATTCAACAGGTGAGGAATGTTGGAAAAGGGAGTGAACACCAGAGAAAGCTGAATTAAGCAGGCCAACAGGAATACTTTGCAAAAGTGTATGAGATTGGGTTCAAAATGCTCTTGTTGAAGTACTTATAATAAAGTGTTGGTCTTTGTCTCTTTGCAAGCCCAACCATTTTAATGGAAATTCTTGGTAGGCATGATTGCTGTAATCATTTTGATTAACAAGGAAAGCTCTCCCGTGCTCGAGACCTTTTATATCACCCGGATGGGGCGCCAGGGGCCCGATGCGGGAAGCAAGGAAAGTCATGTTCCAGGTTAGTATTGAGTAGGGGTCGGTGGGGCCGCCTCAAGGTAAGACTTGCATCAATCCAACTCAGGAAGAGGCTTCGGGGAGAGCATAACTTATTCAGGATTATTGGTTGCGATGCACAATCTATATAAAATCAATATGAATCAGATATGCCACAAGGGACTGGAAGTAAAGTTAGAAGCATGGCTGAAAGACAAATCCATTTAGATCGAGAATCTGGGAGTCCATCTTTAACAGTAAATGAGGAATCATTTTCAAAGCAGTAACTCAACAACAGCCTCATTACTGGATATTCTCAAAATACTGCCCACTGATGAAACTTTGAACATTGTCAATACGAGCACACTAATATGTGTTTGACTCATTGAGGCCTTCTGACGTTGTGGCCTGGATGGCACCACTCAATTCTAGAAGTAGTCTTTGCAGCATTGGAAGTAGCAACACAATAATCTCATCTTTGCCTCATCCTAGAAGAAGATATTTGGAGCAGAGTTATCAAGTCATAGAACTATGTCAATTGAAAGAGAAAAAGCTGAGATAGAGCAGGGATTTATACAGTTGAAGATTATCAAACGTCGCCCTCTTCCTTTGCCCGCCCAAACATCCCTCCCTCAAAAATACTTACTCCAAGCGCCTCTAGCAGCCTTCCCATCTCCTGCATCTCCCACACCTCCCGTATTTCCATCCCCTACATCCCCACCCGCATTACCATGACCATCATCACCAAACCTCCCCCTCCCCCACCAGACTCTCGCCCTAAACTCATCCCCACCAATATAAGCCCCGCACATCCTCCTCTTCCCGCTAAAAGCACTCCTCCCATGCAGCACCCGATGATTGTCCACTACCACTGCCGTCCCCGGCTCGAGTTGCACGTGGTATTCAGAGTCAGGGGATGTGAGGAGGGAATGGAACGTTCGGAGGGCATTGTAGAATGATTCTACGGGGTCGGAGGATGTGGAATGAGAAGAGGAAGAGGGAGACGCCGACGCCTTTGTCGTCCCCGTAGTGTGCGGGTTACCAGCGGAGCGCGCAACAGAATCCGCATCGCCAATATCGAAACACGTCATCACACTCCGGTCGTCATTATTCCACCTAACCTGTACCAACTCGCCCGTATGCGGATGATGCGTCAGCACGGGGTACCCTCCGCTCTTGTCGTATGTGGAATACACGCCGACGGTATCCCGCTCGCCGGCTGCGTGGGCGGGGATGCGGACGGTAGAGAGGATACGGTAGGCTTCAGGGTGGAGCTCGCGGAGGATAGAGGCGACGTAGAACCCGTCTACGAGGAGGGTTGCACCGCCTAGAGAGGGGTGGTGTGCGGTCAAGTTGGCGTCGGTGGGATTTGAGGATGCGAAGGGAGGAGGGACAGAGGAGGGAGCGGGTTCGGTGGTGGAAGCAGGGGTAGGTGAGGGAGCTCTCGTGGCAGACTCCGGTGGAGATGAAGGAGTGAAGAACTCTGAAGATGAATTCGTTGACGAGGAAGGGAATGTGCTAGATTTTGGGTTCGTAGAATCGGAGGTGAATTCCGCAGATGATGGCGTATGCGAAAGTAGGTGGAAAAGTTGTAGACCACTCGGATCGGTCTGTAATACCAACAGGTCAGTTTACGCAGAGGAGGAGGACGCCAAAGGATGGAAGGAAAGGTTTTCGAAACAGAGAATATCATTACACTTACGAAATAAGTATTATCTGTATGTGCACCCAAAGCAACATTCGTATACGCCGTATCGCCCTTTGCTAAATCTGCCGTAAATTCCCAGAATTGGCCGTCTGTGGATGCGAACACGATTCAGTAACCGCCACATTTAGCGTCCAGACCCAGAAGTCAAAGCTCACACTGCGTCTCCCTAATGAACGCTATCCTCCGCGCAAGTTTTTCCGTCTCCTCCGCGGTGGGTGGAACACCGGTAACGAAGCATATGCCGAATTGGTCCTACGAGGGGTGAAAAGAAGATGAGAATGAGCCCAAATATGCGACCGAGACTTACAATCTTCTGCAACCATTTGTACAGTGCTCTGTCACCTTCTTCTCCAGGCTTCATAATGTCTGCAAACGCGACGGAGGGTGGTGATCGAGCTATTCGGGAGTTCCATAGGATCTTCTTTCTGAGAAGCAGGGTTGAGCTGGCGAAATAAAATTTCAAGCTTTACGACTCACTCTTCCTGCTCCGCTGGCTTCTCAACTTTCGGATCATAGGAGTGAGTTTTTAGCCAGCTCCATGGATACAACGATACATGTTCTCTTTCCTCGTCTTCCACACTTTTCGTCTCGCTTCCGTCGATAGACCTAGACGCGAATGACGGCCAAACAACCTTAAGGCCCTGGGACGTAGATTCAACCTTGATGGGCTGAATATCACTTGGAATTTCGAACGTGTTGAGTAAACGCTGCATTGTTTTTGGATGAAAACATGAAGAGCACCGACAGTGGTCTCGTAGCCAGATGTGATGGCTGCATGAGATAGTTACAATGGATAAAATATGAACTGGAATCTCAAACGTACAATCTGGACCAAGTACGCGGATCCCAGCCGACGGCTACCTTCTTCTCGTTCATACTAGTTATTGGTAAGTCATCCTGGTCTTCCCAATGTTGGGGTGCCGAGTCTGATGGTGGAGGTCTGAGTTGGGCTGCAGAAGATCCTGAACGGTGTAGATATTTCGATGGTGTCTATACAGAAACTGTAAGGGGAGAACCGAGAGCAACCTGGAGACAATCACCCACCAAAATCCTTGTCTCATTTCCAAGCACGCTATAACATCTATAATTCCCTCCCGCGAATCCGCGTTGTCCTACACTCCATAGGGCCCTGAAATATCCCCTCTGCGTCATTTGTGTTCGTAATATGCCCCGAGTTTGTAGCATTTTGAAAAAAAGAAAAAAGCCGTATCCAAGTCGGGATGTCGGCCGTCGAGTAAAGGTAACGAAAAGAATAGAATAGAAATTAGCAGGGTCTTTGAATGAAACTAGTCGAAATGCCTATCCAGGCATATCAGCAACGCAGATAGAAAGGAGATGGAGGATATTGCGAGAAAGCGCCGAGTGCCGTCCAGAAAATTAAAGCGGTTTGATGGCGTAGTTGGTCATCGCATCTATCTAACATTTGAATATAAGTTGCACAGAAGGTCCCCAGTTCGAGCCTGGGCCGAATCATTGTACCAATATTTTCGTTTTCGAAGTAAGTCACATTTCCACTGATGTACGTATGAGGTTAAAAAGGTCATCGAAAAAAAAATCACAGAGTCGCCTATTCGTTGGAACAAAGAATTACGTAAACTCAGTGCCTGGGCGTAAGCAAAACTGCAAGCAAAGTATCGAGTAGATCTACGATTCTTAAACATTGATTCTTCTACTTCCTGCATTTAGGTGAAGCGGTAGTGTGCGAGAGTAAGCGGCTTTTCTTAAATAGTATGCACATAATTTGCGAGTCTGGCAGTAAATCGGCTAGTTTTGTGAGCCTGAGCCTTGGTCGCACGTGAATTTGTAATAAGAGGTGCAGTGTATGTTGGCGATCGGGGACCGGTTGAGGAAATTCGCGTTGAACAGCAGTTTTTATGGGATTTCGAGTCCGGGTTACGCAGTTTCTGATTGCTCATAAGTGAACATAAAAAAACCATATCCCTATTCTCAAACCTCATCGGAGCGGTCTGTTGTATTTATTAATTATGCTCCATCTAGAAGGCTGAAATTAGTATGACGGGGGGTAGATCCCTTATAATGGCAGGAGCACACTCTTCATTGAACGTGGCTCGGGTATGCATCCAGACCCTGGTTTCTTCGAGAGGCTGCGGGAAGATCATTGGAATGATAAGACGGTTCATTTTTTAACCTATGACAGTAATTGTAGCGATCCACCGCTCATTCCAAATTATGTAGGATTACCAAGTCATTGACTAACTTGCAATCTTGAAAATTAGGCCCGCTCTTATTAGGGCTAGCTCTGGGTCTGACCATTGACAAACACGGAAAGCTTGAGGTTAGGGTCAGGGGTGGTTGAAACTTACTCCAAGCATGCCGGTAGTGGACAAGTATTTGGTCAGTACAAGTTTTGCCATTGTGAACAGGAGTGGGACATAAGCAGAAATTTACCCCTATTGATCATGAAACCCACTTCGACTATTAATTTTTCACTGGATAAGATACATGGTTCAACATAAGTAGATGAAGTTTCATGAAGGAACAAGTGAGGCAAGCTTGACCATCCTAGGAAAGTACTGTGACCTAATATTGTAGAACTATGGCGCAGTGGTTTTATCAGAGTGGTCAGACTCGAATACTGGATAACAACTAATTGTTCTGTTCTATGGTACCGGTCTCGAAGTAGGCCTTATATACTACATAACACAGTATCCAGAAACTCCTACATACTTTTTCTACCAATATCTGAGTAATGCTACCCGGAACTACATGTGCCGGATTGTATTACTAATGTCAATCTGAGAAATACAACACCTAACTTGCAAATAACCACATAGTAGAAAACACAATAGAGTCAGTGCAGCAGAAGAGATGCCATAAGAGAAGTGAGTGAGTAGCCTCCATAATAATAGAAATGGTAAATGCGCAGATGTAATATAGAACTACATTAGTAAAAGTGAATGGTAAAATCAATTCTCTGAACTACTTGGGTCCTTCTACTTTGATCATAAATATGCATCTGAACTAATATCTAGACAGCAATAGTAGTAAGGACTAAGTGGTAGTAATTGCATCTGAAGTTGGAATAATATGTGTCTGGTGTATAATAACAAGTTTTAAATAGTGTAGCAAAGAATTTCTATGCTATAGTTGCAAGAAAGAGAAGACAAAAGGAAGCATAATTATAAATATGTAAACTTCTCGGAGTCTATAAGTGTAATGACTTCTGCACCCCCCTGCTTCCTATCCTCCAATTTATTATAGTCAACAACTCTCAGGCTGAGGGTTGCATTTACAAGTTACTGCCTTTCTGATAGTGAAAGAGTCTTTGAGAACCTCCTTTTCGCATGCACATCTTAACGGCTGGGCTGGATCAGGGCAATTACGGCAGCTGCATTGTGTCATCCGTAGCATAAGCTGCACTTGTCACTGGTATGAGAAGAAAGATTTCCAATGCAGTAAGCAGACATTAACTTTAAGGGAGCATATGTATTAGGAGATAAAGAACTCACATTCTAAGAGAAGGGCAAATCCCCAATGCAGTGAGTGGACATTTTTCTAAGGAACACAGGAGATGAAGAACATACAAACTATTGGAAAGCAAAAAGTTTCAATGCAGTGAGTGGACATCAATCTCCAGGGGAAATTGCTCGAAGAGGGAAAGAACTTGCCTCCTGTAACAAAGAGAAATTTTCAATGCAGTGAGTGACCATTGACTACTAGTAGATATTGAGGGTGGAGAACTCACATCCTATGGGAAGAGATTGAGATTTTTCAATGCACTGAGCAAGGGCATATATGGGAGGGGCACTCGTACTCACCTCCTATGGGAAGGGGAGGTTTCCAATGCAGTGAGCAATCATTGATTTCCAGCAGACATGAGAGATAGAGAAATCACCTCCTAAGGAGCGGGGAAATTTCCAATGCAGTGAGCAATTGACTTCCTGGTGACATGGGAGAGAAATAACTCACATCCTAAGGGAAAATGAAAGTTTCAATAGAGTAAGTGGACATTAAGATTTAAGAAACGTCAGAGTGGAAAACTTGCCTGCTATAAAAGAGAAAATTTTTGATGTCGTAAGGAGATATAAATTTCCAGGGGGCAGAGGAACTCACATCCTATAAGAATAGTAAATTTCAAGTGCAGTGAGAAATATGATCTTCCAGGAGACAAGGGAGATAAAAAAACTCACATCCTATGGGAAGGAGAAATTTGTAAACATTCATTTCATGAGAAATGGGAGAAGAACTCACCTCCTATCAGGAGAGGCATTGCAAATCCAGTAAATGGATACATTTCCAGGACACATGTAGTGTGAATGACTTACAGGCTATGAAAGAAGGAATTTTCGATGCGGTGAGCAGACATTGATTGTGACAGGACATGAGGGGAAAACTTACCTTCTACAGGAAGGGAAAATTTCCAATGTGATCAGATTTCCAAAAACATATGAGAAACAACTCACCCCCTGTCCAGTGCATTGAGTTGACATTGATTTCCAAGAAAGATGAAGGATAAAAGACTCACCCACTATGAGATGGGAAAATTTTGTTTTCTTGCAGTGAGCACACAATTTGCCAGAGACAAAGGAAATGAAGAGCTCACATTCTATGGGAAGGGGAAATCTTCAGTGTAGTTAGTAAACTTGTTAATACATCGATCTTCAGGGAACATGAAAGATAAGCTTACATCCTATGAGAAGGGAAAATTTGCAAGTCAGTAAGCAGATATTGATTTCTGGGGATAGTGGAGATGAAGAACTGACAAACTATTGAAAGGGAAAGTTTCCAAAGCAGTGAGTGGACATTGATCCAGGGCACATGAGAGAGAAAGAACTTACAAGCTATAGAACAGGAACAATTCCAATCCAGTGAGCGGAGATGATTTCCAGGTATATGGGAGTTAAAAACCCACACCCTAAGGGAAAAAAATTCCCAATCCAATGAGTGGCCATGTCAGAATTGAAGGGAACATCAGAGATGAAAAACATACAAGCTATTGGAAGGATGCAGTGAGTGGACATTGATTGCCTGTGAACATGAGAGATGAAGAACTTACAAACTATATAAAATTGAAATTTCCAATTTAACATTGAATACCAAGGGACATGGGAGATGAGAAACTTACAAGCTATAGGAAGAGGAAATTTGCAATGCAGTGAGCAAACATTGACTGCAGATGATATAGGAGCAAAAGGACTTACAAACTAGAGGAAGGAGAAATTTCCATCGTAGTGAGGAGACATTACTTGCCAGGGCCACTGGAGATAGAGAACTCACCCACTATGGAAAAAATGCGGTGAGTAAACATTCAATTCCTAAGGAAACATGGGAGATGATAAACTTACATCCTATGGGAAAGGGAAATTTCCAATACAATTAGTATACATTGATTGCTTGGGGACATGGCAGAAGAGCTCACATCCTATGGACGGAGAAAATTTCCAATGCAATTAGTAAACTTATCTTTTGGAAGACATGAAAGTCAAAAAAAACTCACACCCTGTGAAAAAAGAAAATCCCCAGTGCAGTGAGCAAACATTGATTGCCCAGGGGCATAGAAGAATGGTAACTCACATCCTATGGAAGGACCAAGTTTCAAATGTATTGAGCAGCTATTGACTGCCATGTGAGAGATGAACTCACAAACTATGGGGTGGGCAAATTTCCAATTCAGTGAGTGACATCGATTTTCAGGGAATATGAGAGACAAAGGACTCACCTTCTATTTGAAGGGAAATTTTTCAGGCCAGTGAGCGGCCCTCAATTTTTGATAGGAGGTCAAACTTACAATCTAGTGAAAGAGAGAAGTTCATCAGTTATCTGGCCTTCATAGGCCAACATTCACTTACTATCTATTGAATAGGACATTAGATTGGAGGTTTATTAGCACTTTGGTCAATCTCTATCTGATCAGATCAGATTTACCTCCTTCGATTTAATATGCATGTTAGTGAGATGGTCTAATCTATGTTCACCTTTTGATAAACCATGTGTTTGATTAGTTTGATTTGTATCACATAGAATAGACTGACCTCCCTCCATCTGATGCCACTTCGCATAGTATTCTCCTGCTTTCTCGTAAAAGCCAACATCCCCCTGTTCCTAGTTTTATTTGTCAGTTACTGTTCAGTGTATAGAGTGACTTCAAACCTTGAATGTCTCAAAATCCTCATGAAGCAATCCTAACAATTTTAGTCCCTCTGGATCTACTGCAAAATGGCCACTCTGATCAAATAATCTCAAATTCTTGTATTTTCCCTGACCCTTCCAAAGATCAATGCTGTCCCACTGTCCAGGATAAACTTTACTATTTCCCAGAAAAAAAGTCTGAGTTTACATTCAGTGTACCATCTCATTGATGCCATAGTGTAAGAATAGTCTTACTGTAACCTTGAGATACTTGGTCTTTTTGAGGATCCTTTTACCGTGTGACAAATAGGAAAATTCTTACCACATTTTCTTGTACTCCCTGAGAAGGAACTCTTCCATTGAACATTTCTTGTAACGTGTAG